TACTCGAACCATGAAAGCTAGGAGGCAGAGTCATTTACACTTCTTAATGTAAATCTCCATGAAGAAACACATTATTAATATCAAGTTGATGTAAATGCCATCTTTTAACCACAACCACAGTCAACATAGTACGAATGGTCGTTAACTTTATAATTGAAGAAAAAATATCTAAAAAATCAATACCAAATTGCTGAGTATAACCTTTAGCAATCAACCTGGTCTTATATCTATCAATCGAGTTATCAACTTTTCTTTTTATCTTATATACCCACTTGCAACAAATGGACTTCTTACCATGAGGTAAATCAACTAATTCCTAAGTCTTATTCTCTTTCAAGGCCTTAATTTCAGCTAGCATAGCATTTTTTCAGAATGTAAATTAAACAGCTTGGTTATAGGAGTTAAGTTCTACATCTTGGGATATAGCAAATACAAAAGACTTATATATTAGGTCCAAGTTGTTGTGAGAGAGTACATGTGAAATACAATGTGGGATAGAAATAGAATTGATGGAAGATTTAAGACCATATAGACAGTAATCATGTAAATGAAATGGTTGCCTTATGTGTCTAATAGATGGCCTTGTTTGTAAAGGAATAGGTTCATCATACATGGGTTTTGTTGAGCTGGAATTTTGTGAACAAATAGGCTCTATTTCGGGAACATCTAATGGTAAAGATGCAAAATGAATAAAAGTATCAGTTGAGGAAGGTAAGAAAACATTACCAGAAGAAGTTGGCTCGCTTGAGTGGCTTAAGACTGCATTACCTTTATCTTGCACAACTTGAATTTAGTCATTATTTTCTGCTATCAAATCATCAACACAAGGAAGCACAAAACTATTTGAACTGTTATTGACAAAATAAATAAAAGAAAAAATATGCTTAACAAAATAGACATCCCAGGAAACAAAGATCTTTTTAGATTGTAGATCATATAATTTATACCCCTTTATGTATGAAGAAAAACTAAGAAAAATACATTTAAAGGATCTATGATTAAACTTAGACTTGTCAGGACTAAGGTTGGATGCATAACATAAACATCCAAACACTTTCAAATTTTGATATTTAGGGATTGAATGAAATAAAAGTTCAAAATGAGACTTATTGTTGATGATTGGAGATGGCAACAGGTTGATCAAATAAGTTGCATGTAGCACACAATCAACACAATATTGTTTTAGTATATGAGCCTGAAACATTAAAGATCTTGCCATATTTAAAAGATGTTGATATTTTCTTTTAACCACACCATTCTACTATGGTGTATATGGGTAAAAACATTGGTGCACAATTCCTTTAGTGACAAAGAAATCATTTATCTTAAACTCTTTACCATTATCGGTACGAGCACATTTGATCTTTATATTGTGTTGGATTTCAACATATACAAAAAATTGAATAATGATTGTTCTAACTTCTCCTTTTATCTTTATAAGATACAAACATGTGTATTGACTCTTATCATCAACAATGGTGAGAAAATAACAATGACCGTATAAACAAGAAATAGATAAAGGATCTCAAATATCAATATGTACAATATCAAAGCAAGATTTACTCACAAGAAACGAAAGTCTTCTTTGTTTAACAAGATGACAAATGTCACAAACAAATAAATTATAATAAGAAATTGATTTGTCTAATTGATGAATTGTATGAAGTCTTGGTGTGGAAGGGTGACCAAGACGATAATGCCAAAGGTTATGAGTGTTAACAACATTATTACAATGAAAAGAACTAGAGTTTGCAAAGGAACAATCAACAGAACATGACTTTATTGTATTGACAGTGTTTGCTGGTTTTGTATTTACTGCCTCAAGTTAATACAATCCTTACCTCTCTTTAGCTAAACCAATCCTCTCCTTGGTTTGTGCATCCTGGATTTCACAAAAAAAAATCATGAAAGGTTAAGCAATATGAGGAATCAGCTAACAATCTCCTAACAATAATTAAATTGAGGGCAAAGTTCGGTGTGTATAGTGCATTATGAAGGGTTAACATGAGCAAAATATATACATCACTTATGTAGGTAATAGGAACTATTTGAGAGTTAGGTAATTTTACAAACATATTGGTCACTGGTCTACACAAAACAAACATTTCTATTGAACTAAGTACATGATCGTAGCTCTGGAATCAATTATTCATTCATTCAGTGAAGTACGGTAAGATAGAGGCAATACCTGGTGAGATATGAAAATTTGTAGAAAGTGTATTGACCTATGGTGCTGAATTTCTGTTTGGTGCACGTGCTTAGGGTTGAATCAAAGCTAATAGTTGTTGGCATTGTTCTTTAGTAAAAGTGAAAGACATGCTCTCTGAAATTTAACCCTGAGAATTGAGCTTCACTTGTGAATTTTTGGACTCTGAATTTGTATCCAGTGCATGAGAATTGACTTGATTGATGTTGGATACACTTTTCTGCCTTGATTTATAGCCTGATGGATATCCATACTTTTTGTAATATTTGCCTACTGTGTGACCAATAAACCCAAGCTGTTTATTATTGATTTCATTAGTCTTTCTCAAATTTCCTGAATTGTAAATATTCACCGCATTTTGTTGAGATTCATTGTATGACTGAATTATTTTCTTGTCTCAAAGAGTTAATTTCATCAGATAATTTTGAAATTCTAATCAAATTATTTTGTGCATACAAGTCAGATAAATTTTTTCAAATATCATTAACATAGTTAATTCACGTAATACTTTGAGCTATTGAGGGATATGCAGACTTGTAAGGATATCGATGGTGAGCAAGCTTGCTAAATTTTTGTTCGGATGAAGATAATATGGACTCGACACGGATTCTTCTTGATTTGACAATTATGAAACCATAACAACATCCATAACTGTTGGCGGCCGACGAACATATTATGAGGCTTAAAAATTAATATTACAATCAATGATTTATAAGAAAAAAATTTGTCTGCTATGATATCATGTTGATTTTGATAATAATCACTATTTAATTTTTCTATAAAATGGAAATTAATGATTGAAGAGAAGAGAAGAAATTGCAGAACTGAGGGAAGAGGAGAGCTCGGATGTCTGAAAATGAGAAAATAATTTTATTGATAAATAACAACAAGATATTTATACAAGAAAAAAAATGATAAATTTAACACTAACTTTGTACATAGTTACATTAATATTCCTTGACTATATATTCTAATATAAATATATCATATAATGAATGAAAATTAAATATGGACCCACACGACTTAAATAAATCGATATGAATTGAGCTTAAAATAGATAGTGAAAGGGAAATGAGATTACACTTCGTGGCTAGAAATTGCTTCACTCAAATTCTTTTTATATAAAAAAAAATAAAATATTTATAGTAAAAAATAGAAGAATAAATTTAAAAATTAACGGTGCAGGTTGGTGGGGTAATAAATATTTTATATGTGTAGATAAAAAAGACGTACCCTGCAGCTGCTGTCAAAAACATTCATTTATTCTTTTCTTTAAAAGTTCAATTTCATTTCACCACGTACCCAAAATAAATAAATAAAAATTACTGTTCCTGGTGGGACTCACGCCTCACTCTAATCGAAATCCTCTGTTTTACCACTGTAATTTTTTTTTTACATATAATCTAATTATATTTGTAAAAAGGTAACTGGTGAATTATTTTTTACTATATTTATTAAAAAAAAAATGAGCACTTTTAAAAAATTTTAAATTAAAGTTGATTTGTGAAATGGACCCGTCAGTGAAATATAGTGTACGACCATTATATGTATCACTTTTCTTTATGTATACGTTCGTATAAATAAAAACAATAAATGGGTTGATCATTGTTTGACAGCAGATAGAAAGGTACAGTATTCTTGTATATTTTTATGTATTATTTACTATATAGTTATAATTAAATTATTTAATTTTATATGTTAAATTAATAAATATGTACGAAATTAATAGTTTCGAGAAACCTTAATTTTTAATTTTGGATAAATATTGAATGAGTTAAAAGTTTAAATTAAAAAAGGAAACGGAAAACAAATTAGGAAAACCTAAAAAAGAGGTTAAAACGCTGATAAGTGGCGTCAAAGATCGGGTCAAGATCCGGGTTCTGTAACTTAGTAAGCACGCGCGGTCTTCTCTCTTTTGTCGTTTTCTCACCGTTGTTTTCGGCTACCGTGTCCTGCGGTTTTTTATTGTCTTCTCGTGATATCAGGTTTTTAGACGAGATTTTGAGATCGTCAACGCTTTATAAATATTTATTAATTTGTGTACGAAAAAAATATTTATTTATTTATTTATTATTATTATTATTATTTTTTTTTACAATGATTTTAGAAACTTGTCGTGTTTAATTAATTACAAAACTCCCGGGCACCTGTCAGTTTACACCCCCGATTGCCAAATGGACAAAATATTTACCCGTATTTTCAGTGTAATTTCTTAATTTATGCAGCAAGAAAAGGGCATGGTAAAATTAAATTACCCTTTTCATAAGCCGTAGATGTAAATAATTTAAAAACAGCAAGTAAATTATTTGTAGTTTACAAGTACTAAGTACATATGTGTTAAATATGATGGTAAATGAATGAAAAAAGAAATCAGATTGAAGAATTATGGCCATGAAAATGCAAAATGATGATAGCCTGCAATTATTTGAAATAATAATGATCGTGATGGCCAGAAACATAAGTTGAATAAATTATTATTATTTTTTTTTTTACCATTAAAATAAATTATTAAATTTGAAAAAAGAAAACGAGCCAACCAGACAGACAACGGATGCTTCTCAAAATCTCGGGAAAGATGAGAGCTACGTGGAGTGATTCCTCTCCTCCAGGTGAAACGGCGCAGTTTTTGGCAATTTTTATTTTAACCAGCAATTTTTAAAAAATTAAACAACTAACCATAATCTTTTGATTATTACATAACATGTAAGAAAACCAGAAACGTCCAGTTCAGATACTCTGTTTACTGCTGCTCTACCTACACAAACACCTACAATTTGCAGCCCATCTTCTTTTTTCAATTTTCTCCATTTAAGAATTAAATTTGTCGTTTATTGCCCCCATTATTTTATCATATTTTCACTATTCACTCCCTCTGCCTCGGTTTTGTAAACCCCTCCAGATTTGAATCAGGAAGGAACTCTCCTCATTCCTTCTCCTTCTCCTTCTCCTTCTTCTCTCGGGGATATATTTGTATCCGACTACCTCACTTTCAGTGGACCCTTTTCAAGTTGAAAGCTCTTCAACTCTTTCATGGCGCTTACACTGTTAGCGACTTGTTGAAGAATTTCTTTTTCCAGCTTTTTCTTTCTCACTGACGGCGGCAACATTCCTCGTTTTTTTTTTTTTTTTCTTTTCTGTTAAAAAAGATACAGCATTGTCGATTCTTGTGGATTCTAGTGATGGCTCAAAAACACTTGAGGGAGTTACTGCAGGACGATCAAGAACCTTTCCTGCTTAAAAACTTCATTGCCGATCGCCGGTTACAGCTCAAGCGATCGTCGCCCAACACCCAGTTAAAAGTCAAAAAACAAAGACCCGTCTCGACTAGCTCCAGCTTCCCAGAAAATTTCTGCAAGAACGCTTGTCTTTTCTCCTTCCATGAGTCTCCCGACCTGAGGAAATCTCCTTTGTTTAGTTTCCCATCTCCGGCGAAGAGCCCCTGCAGAAGTCCCAACACAATATTTCTTCACATTCCGGCAAGAACCGCTGCTCTTCTGCTTGAAGCAGCTCTTAGAATTCAGAAACAGTCATCGTCATCATCGTCTAAAGCCAAAACTCAGAACAAAAGCAACGGGTTTGGGCTATTTGGGTCCATTTTGAAGAGACTAACTCATCGGAATCGGAACCGTAAGCGTGAGATTGTCGGTGACGGTGTTAAGGTGTCGGTGAAAGATATCTTGAGGTGGGATTCTTCAGTAGGACGTAATAGAGTTTGCAGTGAGAGAAGAAGCAACGAAATAAAGAAGGAAAAAAAGGTGGGTGTGGAGGAAGAGAAAAGTGCTTATGAAACGGGCTTTTCTTGTGCCTGCAACGGTAGACCTAGCAGTGCTGTTTGGTCGGAGAGCAACGAGGAGAAATCTTTAGACACCTCAAGCAGTAGCCATTCCGATGATTATGAAGAGATTGAGTTAGCATCAAAAATCATTTTAGGCAATGCAAGTTTCGCGTCTTGCGATAATCACTTCTGTGAAAGCCCTTTTCACTTTGTACTCGAAAGAAGTCCTTCCCCCGGATGCCGGACTCCGGACTTCTCGTCACCGGCGTCATCCCCGACTCGCCGGAAAACAGAGGTTTGTCTGGTTTTCAGTTATCTTCTGTTATCTCAAGTAATCTCACTTGTTGTTGTCTCAATAATCACTTCTTCCCGTCCGAGTCCACTCCGTAACTCAACTGCTCTGACCTTCTTTGAACTGTCGGCAATGGCTCCGCAAATTTGACCGGCATGTTGCGGTCAAAAGACAGATATACCCCAAATTCTTTCTTCTTTGTTTAGTTCTGAGGGCTACTAATGTCATTTAGTCCATTTGCCATCAACCCTTTGGCCCTGTTTGTTTGATAAGTGTAGCTCTCATCATGTCTCTGCCATGCAAATCATTTATTAAGAGTTTGTCTAAGTAAAATAATTTCCCAAAAGAGGACAAATAAGGTTTTTGTTCCTTTCCGGGCGATGATCTCTTGAATAAGATTTCAGGAGTCCGTTTTAGTAATTTTCTATGTTAAAACTTTATTTTCCATCGCAATTTTTCCTGAGAAAAAGTCAACAAAATCCAATCTTACTCCTTCCTATTCACTTGATCATTAATTAAAAGTACCAGAAAGGGAATTTACGATTCCAACCCGGTTTGATGGCGGTATGTTAAACAAGGTTTTCTATGAAATGTAACAGGACGAAGAGAATTACGAAGTGGAAAGCTTAAAGAAATTACAGGTTGAAGAAGAAGATGAAGAAGGTAAGGAGCAATGCAGTCCAGTTTCTGTATTGGACCCTCCTTTCGAGGACGATGACGACGGACACGTGGACGATGAGGATGGGGACAACAACGATTTCGATCTTGAATGCAGCTATGCAATTGTACAGAGTACGTATCTAACAGAGCTCAACCTTTTTTACTGTTCTATTGTAATTTCCCCTGCATTTACTTTGATGAAACCGCTGTAGTTTTCTGGGTTACGGTTTTTGATGTCTGCTTGCTTTAGGTCAATAATGGAAGCTGTTATTGGGTACCATCCGCATACATCATGTTAGTTTAATATGATCTCATTTTCCTTTAAGAAGATAACATACCCATTGTTGTCATAATTACGTATATGATCGGTATATTAGTGAATGTATATCATCTCATTAATGAATTTATGTAGTTTCGACTAAAATAAGATCGTTTAACTCTATCTTTTTTTTCTAACACCTTTGAATTATCACAGAAAAATTGTCGGGTTTAATTTGTAGGATTTATCTCATTCATTGTACCTTCATTTTCCAGGCTGATCTGTCTATTAGGATCTGTAAAATTCTTTTTGAAAATTTCACCTAAAAGTCAGATAAATTCTTTTTGAATTTTTCAGTACCCACCCTCAATTGCAGTGTCCAAATTTATTACTAGTGAATTTCCTCTTATCTTGGGGACCCCTTTCATGTCAAAGCCGTTTTGTGGGTTACCCTTCAAGCATTGAAAGCTAAAGAGCTGTCAGATTTCATTCAAATACTTAAATTTTCTCTGTACTTTTTCCTAGGAACATTCAAATTCAAATAATCTGCATTTACTTGGTCGTGCCATTAGCACAGATCCCTATTGAAATCTCTGCAATTGAGCATTGTTTCCACGAAATCAAATGAGCTAATTCATCCGGAATTTTCTAGTTCTAACCTGAACAATTACTCTTGTTAGTTTTACTTTAATGGATTACAATTAATGTGAGTTCAAGAAAATAGTATGGTTAATTGACAAGGCATTCCGTATTACAGGAGCAAAGAAGCAGTTATTGCACAAGCTGCGTAGATTTGAGAAACTTGCTGGATTGGACCCAGTGGAACTCGAAAAACAAATGTTAGAATCCGAGCAAGACAAAGACGAAGACGAAGACGAAGATGAAGACGAAGACATTGATAATGACAATGACACAGAGGAAGATGAGGACTACTCCGAACACCATGAGTCAGTTTCATTCTACAGTGAAACTGAATTTGTCCAGCAAGTACTTAAATCAAACTTCAAGAATTCGAGACGAATTCCCGGAGGGATCAAGAGGTTGGTCTCCGACCTCGTCAGAGAAGAAGAAGAAGAAGAAGAAGAAGAAGAAGAAGAAGAAGGGACTTGTAAAAATGGCAGCTGCCTTGACAGAGAAGTAGTGGTGAAGCGGGTGTGCAAGAGATTGGATTCATGGAAAGAGGTGGAATCCAACACCATTGACATGATGGTGGAACAAGATTTCAGAAAGGAACTCGATGGGTGGAAAACGAACCACGAGCAGGTCCAAGAGACTGCACTGGAGATCGAATTCTCCATTTTCAGATTGCTGGTGGCGGAGCTGTCTGACGAACTGGTTTCATTTACATGAGAGGAGAATTTTTGGAAGCTATGATGGTTATTCTGTATTGAAGTTTTGGTTTTTTGCTTATTAACTTGTGATTTTTCAATAATGTCAAGGAGTACAGTCTAACTCGGAACAACGAACAACGAAATTAGGAAAAAATTTTAGAAGAGAAAACGATCCGAGGAGGATCTGGTTTTTCTAGGCAGCATAGTAGCTTATTTAGTTATATAATTATATGTATATGCTTCATGTATGTAATATGGGAGCTGTATTTATCCTCCGTTAATTATGTATCTGTAGCTCTTTATATATATATATATATATGTATGTTTATCTTTTCTAGCTTGGTTTATAATTGTCTTAGACATGAATGTGAAAATTAAGCTATATTTTGTACATAGAATCATCTTTCTAATTTATTCTCTCCAAAAATTATTCCCAAAATATCTTTTATATAATGTATTTATATATGCGTGCGCGTGTGGATACATATACATATATATATATATATACATATATATGTTGTAAAGAAAAATTAAGCGAATAGAATATGTTTTTTTTTTTGGGTTCTGGGCAAGCAAGGTATAATATGACAGCTACATTTTCTTGCTCAACAGCACTAGAAAAGGTAGTTCAAAAGTAGCAATTTATAAAAGCGACGTCTGTTAGGTCAAATAAATTGTTGTGTTTCTGTAAAGCTGTAAGCAGATTAGGCTGTGATGGGACAAATTTATTTATAATTTTCATATACATATACATATATGTGGTAGCTTAGCATGTTTTGTTTTTGGGTCAAACAATAAGAAGTGGAAGACAAATTATAATAACTAATTACTAAATTATTAGTCAATAATAATTCATTCTTAAATTAGCTTATCAAGTTAAGCAACTCATAATAATAAGTCATCTTCGTTGATGCCCAAAACTTACTAGACCAACACATAATAAGTCACTAATTTACTAATATAAGTAACATAGTTAATATTTCATTTATATATTACGAATTTATATACTTTACTATAAACGTAATTTTAAGACTATTATAATATTTAATTTAATAAAATTATAATAATCAACTAATGTTATGCCAAATTATCCATTTCTTTTTTCTTATGTTGATAGTGAGTTAATTAAAATCAAGAGACATTAATTTATTGCACAATCTACCAGTCATCAGCTTAAAACCTGTTAATAGATATATTAATTTTATTTGATAACATATATGTATGTATGTATGTATATCTATAACGTTTAAAATCCATTGGATTTTGTATGTCATAAGAAATTAAAGTTAATGTTGCATCAAAAACGTTTTCTATTTTCTTTTTCAAAATTTATATATATTTTATTGATAGAAATATATTATAAATTTGTTAAAAATTGAGAATAAAATAATAAAGTGATAATAAACTTTGAAAACTTAATTCATAAAACTACTTTTTATTTATGTTTAAAAAATTATTCAAAAGAATAACTTTTTTATTTAATTATATGGATAAATGCATATATAAATTTTAAAATATTTTAACTTTTAATTATTCAATATCTAGAAAATTCGGTTAAATTAAAAAATGGTAAATTTTCAATTCTATAAAAAATATTTTGATGGTTGAATAAAAATAATAATTAATATAATTAAAACTAAGTTAAAAAATTCTCATTCTCGGTATAATAAATGGGCCCTGAGTATAAAACCAAATACAACTAAAGCCCATTTATGGTTGCTGTCAATAAAATCAATTGTTCATGGCTCGGTTTGAGTACATTGGGCTGAGTCAGAACCACTTAACTCGGCCCAAAGACAAAATAAAATTTAATAAATCATAACAAACTAACAATACAATAATAATAATATAATTTATAAGTTGACTCGAATTCGACCCACTGGGTCCCAAAGAGTAAAATAAACTTTAAAAAAGTCGTGTTTACTTTGTTTTATATGTACGTGTATATATATATATATATATATATATATGTTTTATTTTTCAGTTTTTTCTCTATGCGTGTTCTCATTGCAAAAAAATAAAAATAAAAATAAAAATAAAAAGTGGGTTCACATTTGAATTCAATTATTTAATGTGAGCACGTGACATTATCAATAATAAAAACAACAAATTGAAATTTGAAGATGTTCGAAAGTTTGGAGTTAATTGATTACTTGGAGTATTAGGGAGATACGCGAATAAATTTAAAATTTTTGAAATTCAATTATGAATAAATTTAATTATAAGAATATAGAATTGAATTCATTATGTATATATTTAAAATTATAAATTATAAAATTGTCCCGAATGGATTTCTTAGTTTAATAAAGTTTATAAAAAAGAGTAACCAAAAAACGTTTTAACGCATTGAAATACTAAAAATGATGAGCCGCCGAAATTATGAAAGAAATGGAATATAATAAAAATTTTTTGCACGTGAAGCTGCGGATTAGAAAAAGACAAGACCATACAAATTCAAATGAGAAACCAGACACAACCGACTTCACCAAACAAATGTTAAAAATTCAAAGGGCAGAGCCGCAAGACATATATTTCTATTATAATAAAATGATTTAAATTTATTCAAACAAAAGTTTGTTTTATATGGAATATGAGTCTTTTATGAAGAGCTAATTTTGGCAAGTTCCTCGGCAACGAGACAATAATCTTGCCCTACCAAATTATTGTTTAGTGCAGACTTTATAAAATCTTGTTGTTCGGTGCCCAATAAATCTTTATAAAATGTTGTCTAACAGCAAATACGCATACGTCCAGATATAGCAAAAGCGTATGGTAGGTAGCTGGGACTGATGGGTTTTTCAGTTGTAGTTGGGTCCAATTTTCAAATAGAGGAAAAAAATATTCTTTTCATGAGCCCCACAACCCAAAATGATTATTTACACGTTTTACATGCTCTTTTGTTCCTTCATTCTCCCCCCTGCGTGTGTGTGTGTGTGTGTATATTAAAACTTATTACGCATCGTACGGTATTCCTCCTAGCAGTAAGTGCGGGCTTAGTTACCGTCTGGTTTTCTTATTCTCCGTCAACTCTCTTCTTTCTCTTTTTCACTGGATCTTTCCTAGCAAGCTACGAAGCTTGCTTGCCCATTCAATCATAATATATATAGATATAGACACACACACACACAAACACAGAGATATAAATATTTGTTTACATGGACATATGTAGAGATACCAACCAATCAAAATCAAACAAAAACAACCCGCAATCACCGGAAAAGGCTTTGCATGCATTGGAAGCTCAGACTCAAAGAAGGGGCAACATGCAGAAACGCAAGGCGGGGAGGAAGAAGTTTCAAGAGACTCGCCACCCGGTTTACAAAGGCGTTCGGCGGAGAAACGGGAAGTGGGTGTGCGAGACAAGGGAGCCAAACAAGCAGTCCCGCATCTGGGTTGGGACGTTCTCGAGCCCAGAGATGGCTGCAAGGGCTCACGACGTGGCTGCATTGGCTCTCCGAGGAGAGTCATCGGCTTCCTTGAACTTCCCGGATGAGATACGAGCGCTGCCACGTGCTAAATCATCTGCTATCAGGGACATACAGTGCGCGGCCATGGAAGCAGCCGAGGTGTTTAGGAATACTGGAGATTCTTCATCGGCGATTAATGTTCACGGTGATGATGATCAAGAGGATGAAGGGATGGTGTTCTTGGATGAGGACGAAGTGTTTAACATGCCGGCTATTCTTCACAGCATGGCGGAGGGGTTGATCTTGGCGCCTCCATCCGTGCAAAGAGAGTGTACGTGGGATGATGATATGGAAGATGAGGTTGAGTTGGCGTTGTGGAGTTACTGATCAGATAGATTAGTTTCATGCATATTGTTTGAATCTTTCTTACGATCTTTTGAAGAAAATTTTACGAGTCTTTGTCTTTCTAGAAACAACAAATTAGGAGTATAGGTATATACACATTTACATATAGTTAAGGAGCTAGCTAGTTAAGAAAAACCCAGTTCTGTTTTGTTATACAGTTTTCAGATCGTGAAGCCTCCATGTGTTTCTGCAGGCTTATTCTCGGGGTCCTCGGAGATCATATATATGTGTATACAGATACGAGCACATAGAAGTTAAAAATTTAGAAGATGAGGGCCTTAATTTATAGATATCAATAACCAAGATAAAGTTTACAAGTGTCAAAGCATGATAAAGGAAAATAAGAGTACGAGGACAAAAAGAAATTGTTACAGAAAACATTCTGTTATACGGAGGAAAGCAGCAAAAATTCCTTTTGTCATTCCTCTGTAAATTGCAGATGAGAATGCCAGCCGGTGGTGATCTGGAGATGCCTTCTCCTGCAGCAGCTGTTAGATTGAAGATTAATTATCAATGGTGCCTGCTAATTGATGAGGCTTTAACAATAGAAACATAACATGCACGAGAACAATGGCTTAGAGATGCATATGTGAAAGATTCATTTTATGTGTGTTGGTTCTTGATCAAGAAATATAATTGTTCCGTCTAAATTAACAAAAAAATCAGCAAATAAAAAATAGACGCATGATATGATAAAATAATAGTAAACAAAGAAAATGAGGCACGTAAGTTTACGAACAAAGCTCTCTAAAATTACGTGTCAAACTCCAAGTCAAATATAGTATAAAAAATAATTAGTACAAAATATTTTTATGTAATTTATACTTTAGATCACAAATAATAATAATAAAAAAAATACTTAAATTCCTTAGATAGTAAAACACAAATTTTCTTAAACAATCTATTTGCAATTAATTCAAAATCTACTTGCAATATTTGTTAATCCACCAAACTAAAATTAAAAAACTTTGGCCAAACACTTTTTCTCCTTAGTTCTCATGTGTGAGTAAGAGAAACCAAAGCATGAATAAGAGGAAATGAAAAACTCAAGAAACTATATACATTTCTTTGCTTCCCGTGCATGTATACGAGGAAAAAACTGCTGACACAAACTGTAAGTAATACTTAATTTTTGAATTCATGGTCTTGTCTATGTAAATATTCAAGTATATGGATATTCATGAACAAAACTTTTAAAATTTTAAATATATAAATTGTAATTAAGTCTAATTCATGTTTCATAATTAAGTGTAAGACATGAACTGCCTAAAAAAAATTAAATGTAATATATGAATTACTTATAAAAACTCAAAACAAACTTATTAGTTATTATATTCATTTATTATATTTAACTTAACTTCATAATAAAATAAAGGGTATAGACGTATTAAAATTTATAAATTATTATTTTTAACGGTAAGAAAATATAAATATATATCATGTAAACTTAACTTTAGAACCCATTTGTGCTAAAAAAATTATTGAAAATGTAAGTAATTAATTAATATTTCTAGTTGCCAGGCCCAAAACTAGTCTAAGAACATCTCAAGAAGTCCACCTGGTTAATTATTTAATTCGGTAATTAATGATTTGATTAAAAGTGAGGCACGCACGTACACATTTAAATTAAAAAAAAAAAAAAAAAAATCCATGTGATCAGGCACTAACTCGGACGAGCTACCCAACATTCACCACTTCACCATTGACAATGTACTCTGCAAAACCACGACCTATCCTCCCCGTTTGATCATCTCGGAACTTACCTTCGCAAGAAAGAGAATCTTTCCACCCATTCAGTGCGATCCTCATAAACATATGGATCAAGTACTGGTACCAGTTCAAGGAAAAGAATCCAGAAAAGATGATCACGTCGTCGAGGTCTGGAATCCGAACAAGGATCACTTAGCGTCGATGCACCAAAAGATCTCACAGACACCGATATTACTGAGCATAGCCGCCGGCAACAGCTCTTGTTGCATCTTCAGAGTCCCGAAAAGCTTTGTTGAGATTAACGATGAGTGCTACCAACCTCAGATTGTCTCAATAGGTCCGTACCACAGAGGAGAGCCAAAGCTTAGAATGATCGAGGAGCATAAATGGAGGTACCTTGGCTCCTTGCTCGACAGGAAAAAGACTAGTTCAGGTCTAAGCCTGGAAGAATACTTGAAGGCCGTTGAGCCATTAGAAATCAGAGCTAGAGAGTGTTATTCAGAGACTATTGGTCTGAACAGAGATGAATTCTTAGAGATGTTGGTTCTTGATGGGTGTTTCATCATTGAGTTGTTTCTAAAAGTTGGTAAATTAGTCCCTTTCGAGCCTGGAGATCCTATAATTTCCATGGCTTGGATATTACCTTTCTTCTACAGAGATTTTCTCCGCCTCGAAAACCAGATTCCTTATTTTATTCTCGAGTGTTTATTTGATCTTATAATGGAAGACGGCCAGTCAGGCCCTTCTCTCTCCTCTCTCGCTCTTGAATTCTTCAACTACGCGATGCAGAGACGAGATGAAGACATTGCCAAATTTCATGATCTCAAAGGGAAGCATTTACTCGATTTGGTAAGGAAAAGCTTTATCCCATTCGACCACGACGGAGATCAACGCCACAAAGGCCCCACACCAACACACATAATCCACTGCGTCTCAAAGCTTCGTCGGTCCGGAATCAGATTCAACCCGGCGAAAGAGGAAACCTTTTTGGTAGTTCACTTCCGGCGAGGAGTGATCCACATGCCGACAATCACCATCGACGACTTCATGAGCTCGTTCCTGCAAAACTGCGTGGCGTACGAGCAGTGTCACCGGAGCTGCACCAAGCATTTTACAACTTACGCGACGTTTTTGGATTGTCTGATCAACACGGCGAGTGACGTGGAGTACCTCTGCGATCGGAATGTCGTAGAGAATTATTTCGGGACGGATATGGAGGTGGCAGGATTCATCAATAAGTTGGGCAAGGACGTGGCTTTTGATATCCAGAGGTGTTACATGGCGGAATTATTCAACAACGTTCATGAGTATCATAAGAGTAGTTGGCACGTGCAGTGGGCGAGTTTCAAGTATACTTACTTTGATACGCCATGGTCGTTTATATCTGCACTTGCTGCGTTTATTCTTTTGATACTCACCGTTTTGCAGACTTTCTTCACCGTCTACCCAGCTGTAAGAGGGGATCCGGTCAAAGGTCAAGGATGAAGCATGCAGTATATAATGTCGTTTGTTTACATGCACGTATATGTATAACATTATGAAAAACGCACTGTTCCCTGTTCAAACCATGAAAAATGATTAAAGCGCTTAAAATTCAGTTAAAAAATAATATGTAAAAAAAAAAAGTTGATGAATTAAACTTGATCATAGTTGATGTATTTAAAATTTTAAAAGTTATATATATATTTATATACTTAAGATTACCATAAATTAAAAAACTTCAGAATTTTTATTAGTTTCTAATTATTTTTCATCTCATTTCCAACATAATATTATATATAATTAACTTATCTCTTAAAATTTTTTCCCATAGAATTTTTACTAACTTCTCATTGTTTTGTTTACTAATTGGTCAAATATATATATATATATATATATGTTGTGTGTAGTGAGGAACGTTAGGTGTTTGGAGCATTTTTTTTCATGCATTGATGCGCCCTTGAAGTTATGTCCTTCACCAAACATTCAAATCGAGTGGTTCTTATCCTCACAAAAACTATGATATACAGTATCTTCTTCGAATAATTTGTATATAATATACAAAAATCTTTCCAAATACATTCTCAAATTGAAAAAATAAAACTTAATTTGTACTTTACAGTATATAATGCAATGCCTCGTGTAATTATGAATTACCATAATGATTTTAATAATTTATTTGGATAATAAAATTTATAGAACTAATTAGATATATTAATATTTGGTCGAAAGTAAAATTACCATTAGACATAAAATAATTTGTAAAATCAGATTAACAGTAGAAAAGAGGTCCATTAGAGCTTGGATCAAGATATTATTAACCCAGTCTTTGCTTTTTGCCGTCAGCCCCTAACCCAAATCCAAAATATAATGTCTGTAATTAATTCATTAGAAATAAATTCTAATATAATAAATTTTATTTAATCAAGTAAAAAAATTGAATTAATATTCCTGAGTAGTTATCAGTTGACCAATGTACACACAGAATTTCACATAATCAAATATTTGCCGTCAAGCACTGTATTTTGTTGCACATAGAATTTTTTTAGTATTCTTAGAGTAGAATTATATAATATTAAAATTTATTTTCAACTAATTTACGTACATTAAGATTATATATATATATTTTCGTCTCCATTTAAAATATAATCAATTTAAATAAAAATTCAAGATTAACAAATAAAATAAAATAAACCTACGTTTATATTTATGCGGCAAAACAACCTAAATAAAAAATAACTTCTTATTATGTGTACACACATATATATATATTATTTTATTAGATGTATAGAATTTTTTTAAAAATCACTGTAGTACTTTCTCTCTCTCTCTCTCTCTCTCTCTATATATATATATATATATATAGGTCAGAAAAAAATAAATTTTGACTCAAATTTTCAAAGTGCACGTGAATGTAACTCGGTGGAAATAAAAATTAGACATCAATCCACCAATAATTAGCTGACTTTATCAAATTCATTATAAAACACGGAGTTTTGTCAATTTAATTTGAAGAAAAAACACGGTGATCTTACTCCCAGAATTCCCAAGTATTTGAATATCTCCATGGATGATATATGCAGCCCTATAAATACTTAGACCTCGGACTTACATATGTATATTAATACTCCAAGCTTACAATTTCCTAAAGCTAGCACAAATCAAACTACACATATAGTTCATATTTTGTTCTTATCAATATTTTTTAACCTTTCATTTCATTTCAATTCATACACTCAATCAATATTAACCAAGAAATATGTCAATGAAGAACCAAGGGTTGATCAATGTTGAAGAATCTCCGATGCAAGAAAGCAATAATTGTAGCTCATGCAATGTAAGTTATGCATACTACGTGCTCGAGGATGAATTTGAGTACGAAAATCTTCTTCAACGTAGCAATCTTGATTCAGCAACAGAGTCTGCGAAATGCAAAGGAAAAATGACAATTGAAAAAACGACATTTCCAGTTATTTTGAAATTATGGAAGATCATTCGAGGAAGATTGAGATGGGAGGGGGGCCGAGAAAATTACTCGGATCGAGCGGAGGGTGAGGTTGTTTGTGCAATTAGCAGCCAGGCAAGAGGTTTGAACGTTGGGCGTTGGAACCTAAGAAGAGGAGTTGGTGGAAGGTTAGGCAAGCACAAGCTCCAGAGATTCAAGATAAGGACGATTGATTTTGAAGAGGTAATTGCCAAGCCACCCAAGTGATCATCATCCCATCGAGTGTAAAATCAACTATTCACATATATACATACACACACACACACACACAATATATATATACATATATACAGTTGACAATTTGTATCTATCGAATATATGATTTCACCTGTTATTTCGTGATCAATGTTTATTTCAAAGTGTGCATGGACCAAATGATCGTAAATGGTGAAATTTGGTCTCGACCAATAAATTATTTGTAACATTATATATTCACTAGAAAACTATAACAATTAATTATTTGCATTCTAAATTTTTGCTGTTTTATTTAGAATAAAGCATAATGAAAATAAAAAAAAGGCTCTGATGTTATATTTTTAATTTTTTTTTTGTTATTAGAAAAATTATAGTAATTTCAATTCAAAATATTAACTTTATAATAAAAATATCATATTATTTGAGTTAAATATTGGTAATAATTACTGATAAATAAGAAAGAAAATACCAAATAATTAACATGTAAATTTAATATTGACTAATTAATTGTACATCTCTCTGTGTACATGAATGAGCCTGAAATATATATAGATATATACAATTTGAAGGCCCCCAATCTTAATATTCAAAAGGCAAAGAGATAACGATGAAGACATTATTTAGTTAACACAAGATTTCGTATGATTGATAATTTGTTAAGTTGGATGATTATTTGTCCTAAAAGCTAATTAATATAAAACTTTATATACATTCATACATTATCTTAATCTATATTAAACAATGTTTATTTTTATTTAGTTCCTTAACATAAAAAATTTAACTTATATATTATTTTAATTTTTGAAAAAGGAAAAAAATATCATAATTATCCAATATTCATATATTTAATAATTAATATATATATATATATATATATATGAAAAGTAATATATTAAAAGGAAAAGAAAGCCAGCGGCTGCTGAATTCGGCAGTAATTATATATACATATATATATATATATATATATATATATATCACTTGCCGATAACGAATATAACAAAATTACATGTAATAAAATAGTAATTAAATAACCATATATTGGCTTATCCATAATCCATTAACGTGATCTTTTCCTCCTCCTTCTATTAATCAAATATCAATTAAGACTTTTACTTTGACCTAAAAGATCAGATAGTTACCATAACAACGGCTCCTATAATGGTAATGAAAGTGATGATGATTCCGCCATTGATCAGCCGCAAATTAAGACTCCATTGACTTTCACTCTTCAAATCAACGTTTGGTTTGATCCATTCTCCAAATTTAACACGTGAATTTCCTCTCCTATAAATGTGCTCTCAACTCTCCACATCTCAAACCACACCAAACAATCCCTTGAATCAGACGCTGCCTCTCATATTTTTCTTATTGTAAATCTACATATACACAGCGAGCTTCAAATACACACATACAGAAGTTCTGACCATGAAAATTCGAGGCTCAGAGCTCGTACAACAAGTTGATCAGAGCTCTTACAGTAGTTTGGAGCATATATGGACATCTCAACATCAAAGACTTTCACGGCAAAATCAACAATGCCCTAAACCCTACAAGAAAGTCACTCAGAACTCTGGAAGCCGTTTTCAAGATGATGAAGTTTTGACATGTTGTACCAGCCCATGCAACGTACGCTTCGTCTATTACGTGGCAGAAGACAGATTTCAATACGATCACTACCGTGTCCAACAGATAGGAAGATCGGAAAGAGGCGGAAGCATTTGGAAGAAACTGCGGAAGGTGATGCCATGGCGCGTGAATATTCGTATCAGAAGCACCAGGCAGAGAGGCTTAAACGCAGGTTCGCGCTGTCGTCTTGGTCGGTTTAAGGTGCGGACTGTTGATGCTGGAGAGGTGATTGTCAACCCCACTAATCAGCTGCCGCCGGCGACTAATAAGTGAATATTCATAAATACAGAAAATGAATGTTTAATTTTTTTTTCTATATATTTCTTTTAAATATTTTAAAAACCGGGAATTGTGGGCTAAATTAATCAATCTTGCGAACGGTGAGAAATTTGGTCATGTCTCGGATCAGCTCTACTGTACCATTCTTTGATTCTTTAATGTTATATGAAAGTATTCTCTATAGATATGTTATATATATATATATAATACTATGATTTATCTTCCTAAAAAAATCAAATGTAAAAAATTGATATATTTTCAATTTGGGTCAACTGGGTGCGACTCGTGGACTTATGAACTCAACCCAAGAAGCTTGTTGTAGATTTTAGTAGGTGCGTCAAACCCAGTTTAGCCAACAAGAGAAATTATATACTAATGGGCTTTTCGGTTGTTTGTAAAATAATTACTGCTACTTCTGAGGCTTTTATTTTAATTCAAAGCCCATATATGTATGTATGTATATGCGTACATTAATTGAGTGAAAAACATCCAATTGCATGGCACATATAATTTTTATTTGTAAAATTCATTTTAATTTTATAATTATTCAAATAAAAAATGTATAGACTCCTTTTAAAATAAACTGGATAATTTTAATTGTATTATTTCAAGTTATATAACTATATTTATATGACTATAAACAAATTTTCCATTCTAAAAATTTATTGCCAACCGGATTGATCTCCACGATGAAATGAACAAAATCTGCCGACATGAAATAATTTGAAACCCATGCCAATTCCCAGTTAATTGCACATATGTTATTTCGATATAAACATGTGCATGCTTACTTATACATGTCCAAGTTCAGTTCATGCAGAATAATAACAGATATGATCAAAGGATGTGGCCACTGAAGAGCAAAAAGTTGAGATTATATTCCTTTCCAAGTCTTTTACACACGTGTTTAATTTAAATACATTTAGGGAATGTGGCTGCCGGATTTCCTAATTTCTGCTTCTGCTTCTTCTTTTTTTTTTTTTTTTTTTTTTTTTTTTTTCTGGTTTCCTAAATAAAATCAAATTAAATATTAAAATAATATATTTACTTCAAACTTCTGTATACATCACTTAAATTTTGTCAGTTTAATTCCTTATAAAATAAATTTAACTTTAATTTTTATTTTAATGAGCAAACCTGCTCGCAATTAATATTCAAATATATAATTTCACCCAGTGCTACATATATATATATATATATATATATATATATATCCAAATAGGAAATTGTTTTAGTAATGTAGTATTTAATTAAAGTGGAATCTATGACTGATATCGATCACGATTATTGATCACTACAAATTAAAACCAAATCCTAGCAGAATCCGACAGTTGTGTTATGGCTGTATGTATCGATGTTAATTCCGGCGCAAGTCTCTATATTGCGGCATATATATATATATATATATATGTCTGTCTGTCTGTCTGTCTGTATATATATAGATACATATATATATATATATATATGCGCAAAGGCACTAAATGAGGATATTAAAAAGGGCCCATGTCACCCCTAAGCATGAACAGGAGAAGCATAAAAATGAAGAAAGGTGACAATTAAATAGTTTTTTTGGTGCTTTTAATCTTTTCGCTGTTCCTTAAATCATTGCTTAACACATAATTATCACTACCTTTGACTTTCTCCATTAATGGAGATGTCCCTCCTAGCTACTAATCTAACTAATATCGCTTATGGTTTAATCTCTCAATTAGCCAATATATATATATATATACATACACATATATATAACATTAACATTTACACCAACATAAAGTTTTACTTTAAAATATTTGGTTTTGGTATAAATAAAATATTTCTCATTTAATTAATTGAAGTTAATTATTTGATTTGTTTAATTTAATCACAATTAATACACTAATTATATAATTAACTTAATTTTACTTACGTATTTGATAATATAATTTTATGTATTAAGAATATTATATAATCCAAAGTGAGAATCGTATTTTGACTTTTCTTTAGGTAGTTGGAGGAAGTTATTCGTTTAGCTAATTCTAATTCTTAAATTTTTCTACGAATTTTTTTTTTTAAAATAAAATCATTTAGCGAACCAATAGAAAATTGAGAATACTCCACGTACGTGTCCCAAGCTTTTGACTATGAACTTATGCTCACGCGCTTTAAGTTCCCACTTTCCATTATCGCTCCGGAACTTCTCCTGCTTCATCATTAATGTAGCGGCAGCCACAGCACACCGATCCTCTATGGCGTATGACACGGCCAACCATGTACCTAATTTCATCACAGTCGTCCATCCATGTCATCGTAGTTGATCCAACGGCTGCCGACGTTGAAGATTTCTGCCTTCTTTATCTACTATTTGGACATGCAGAAGAGCGGGTGCACCTAGACACATACGATGCATGATTCTTGCAGGACCCACAAAAGAGGTGAAACGTCAGCGTCTAGATTGACATGGCAGAGAGGCTGTTTCAATTGTTATGGTGCCACATGTAACGAGCCTAACTAGTTGAGAATGACACGTCAACAAAGATTTAAGGTGGGGCCCTTATGTTTGTGGGGAAACCTTACATTTTTTTTTATTGGACAGGGAATGTAGGCTGGCTATAACCTAAATAAACCTACATTCGTGTAACATGTACTCCAAGCATTTGTTGATTGGTCATTCATGTGCTCCCACCTAAATAAAATAGTTATAATCATTATAATAACGATTAAATATGTAATAATTCGATTTAAATAGAAAATTTGAATTAAAAAGTAAGTCCCTCTGTCTTATTTTAATTATTTCTTTAAATATATTATTAGCAGATATTATTTAGTACTTAAAAAAAAGATTGGATAAGTGATTTACAAATAAATTCATTTTAATTATACCCATATATATACACACACACACACACCTGTCTACCGATCTATCAATTTTGAATGTCAATTATCCACCAAAGTTTTCATCAATCCATTTTGTTAAATTTTCATAAACTTAACATTAACTTAATTTATTCTTACCCAATTAATTTATCACATGCAAAAATTTTGATTTTGCAAAAATTAATTATTCATCACCAAAATCTTGAAAATTCAATTAATACGGAAATTATACTTAAGGATAAATAAAAATCCATTGAGAATTGAACCAAAAATTAACTTATGGGCAAGTAATAATATATTATCTCTTTCATTAATAAATGAAAAATTATAAAGGATATAAAATTTCATATGACTTAATAAATCATATAAATATGATTAACCCATCTCAAATATTATAGTTTTTTTTTTAAATAATAATAAAATTTAGAAAGAAATAGTTGTACGTATGAATCTACATATGCATATGTAATGTTGAAATATCTCATATGCAATTACTGACTGTGACTATTCCTGTAAATTGACTAAAGTTAGCAACTAGCTTTTCTTTTCTTGCTCACCAACAAACAATGGATGTCATCTTATTTTTTCTTTTTAATACTGTTCTTTACCTTTGAAACCCAGTTTCCAACTTGAACTCGAATTGGGTATACTCAAGCATCTGGGTAAAATTCCTCTTCTCCATCAAAGAAAGATACATATGCATAATTTCAACTGATCGTGGGTTGGTACACACACTCGGGTCGGATCTAAAGAACCCTAGAAGAAAAGAGCTTTAGAAAAGTCATAAACTTCATGATCGGTTATTTCCAGATGGATACCGAGCATTCATGTGCGTTATGGAAGCTTCTGTTCAGTAAACCGGCAATTAGAGAAGTACGAATCTCATTCATGAAGCAAACTGATCGTTTTTTTTACTAGTTGCCGTTAGTTGCAGTTGGCGGCAGTTAATGGCTTCAATCAATCACTTCAAGATCACAAATTTTCTGGAAAGGAGCTAGGTTCAATTATTATACATATGTATATATTTATATAAGTTTTCTATTCCAAGAAAGATACATATAAAAGACAGATACCAACTCTCAAGCAGCTCAGGAAATTTAACATATACGTATATATAGAGCAAGCTGCAAAAAGAGCAAAAAGATTTACAAGAACAATCAGAAACAGAGGCAATTATTTATACACATACAGATATACACGCCATTTCTTCTTCTCTCTGGCATCTTACCTTTCCGACGGAGGACACCCATAAATTAAAAATTAAGGGAACACTAGTCATTTTTGGTTTTGCCGGTTTTATATATATATATATATATATATATATGCATGTATGGCTAGTTTGGTTTTATTATTACCTATAAGAAGCTTATATATAGTTTATGTATCTAACGGGCAGCGGGTGTTTAAGGAAACTTCCAAAGGTCATGATCAGCGGTGGCGGCATCATCGTCGGCAATGTCCAAACGTGGAGGGCTGACAAGCATGCCTTCAGCCATGTTGACAAGAAGATTAGGCATGTCAAAAATCAAGTCCTCATCCACAAACTCATTAACCATCGATGATCTCTCTGCCGTCGTTGTGACATTTTCATCATTTCTTGCGTTCTCATTGGCAGACAGTGCATCATTGGCGGCGCCCAGAGCAGCGGCTGCGGAAGCCGCGGCTGATTGGATGTCGCGAGGGGAGTTAGACTCCGGCACAGGCAGAGATGAAGCTGAATTAGGAAAGTTAAGCTCGGCATCTCGGCCTTTTAGGGCAAGTGCAGCAACATCATAAGCAATAGCTGCCATTTCAGGGGTAGGAAATGTACCTAACCAAATCCTGTTTGGCTTCCTGGGTTCTCTAATTTCACTGACCCATTTGCCGCTACTCCGGCGCCGTACTCCCCGGTACACCGGGTGTCGTCCAGTCACACTACTGACATTGCTGCGGCTGCTGCCACTGCTAGAGCTACTGGCCTTGTTGGTGGGTTTAGAGTAATACTGCATGTTGGTGATTGGAGAAGGGAGAGCTTAGCAGGGAAGAGGTGTTGTTGTGGCGGGAAGATGGTGGGTTTGAAGTAGGAGGAGGAGGAGGAAGAAGGAGACGCCATTTATGGAGGATTGAGAAACGAAGAATCAGAAGTCTGTAATGAGTGCTGGAGTGCAAACCAGTTATTGATGAACTGCAAGAGAAGGGAAAGGTGAGAGCCAGCTGCTCGTGTGTTTGCATATCTGGGTTGTACTGCGTTTTGCTGGTTACCAGAAATAACTGCCTGAGATCTTCATTAAAACGTCAATGAAATAGCGACTTATATCTTTCGGCACTCATATATATATTATAATATAAATAATTATCTTATATAATATCTTAATGAAATGAGATTGAATTTAAATTAATTAATTAAGTGTTTTTATTTCCAGAAGGGTAGAAGTATCTACCATAGATCCTGTGGTAAAATGTCGATGTCAGTAAATATTCAAAGCCGCGGTCAGACTTTTTTATACTTTGAAAAAAGATGGTAACATGTTCATCTTCATGGCTATTGTATCTATTATGACAGCATCCTACAGCTGATTCTCTATAACATTTACGTGACTTCAAACTCTATATCTAAAACACCCATTATACTATATAGATTGTGGTAAGTTAATGAGTTAAATTACTGAAAAGTCCTTGTGTTTTTTTTACCTACGAAGCACTCGGAGAAGCGAAGGTGGGTTACATATAAATGATCACAGACTTGACCAACCAAGTTAAGGTGTGGTAAATCACCAGACATTATATAATTAATTACTTTTTGCCAATCCTAAACCAATTTAGAAATAAAATAAATGAAAATGGAGCGTAAAGGTTTATTGTCCTTTCCAATTAAGGATAGTGGAGAAGAGCCAAATGCCACCTTTCTTAAACTTTACCCATCCAAAATAATCTTACTACTTCTTATATTAATCCGTACGTGAAAGGTCAATTACATTATATATATACCCTTAATATTGGACGTCATGTATGCATATTCCTATTACTGCTATTTTTTTTAAATCACAAATATTTATTTAAAATAAAGTTTTTAAAAAGATGTAACATATACTATTTATCTTTTCGTTCAATTATAATAAATATATAATAATAAATTATAAAAATACACTCTTAATATATATATATATATATATTAGTGAATCTTTATTTTGATTGTAAGCTCAAGGGTTAAGGGTACCGATATCATTTATTTTTGGTGTAATGAAGTGACAAAATAAGTTTTATAGTTCATATTACCATATTATCATTTTTTGTAATAGTCTAGATATGTAAAAGAGGGTAGGATGGACAGTTGGGCTAGGATAGACATAATCAACGGTCAAGATGTAAAGTTGGTTTAAGGTATAAAAAGGACTTCAGACAGAGAAAGGAAGGAGGAGAAAAGAGGAAAAAGAAAAAAAGAAAAGAGAGAGAAGAAGGGGAGAAAGACCGAGAGACATGAGGACGAGGCGACTGAAATATGCTAGGAAAAAAACAAGATTAAAGAGAAAGGTTGTTGAATCAGAGGGAGATGGAAACCGGAGGTAATTAAATTCCTAACTTAAAATTTTGTGTTGGTAAATGTAGGTAAACTTGCTAGGGTTCCAGTCAAATTTGCTTGAGGAGTACTGAGTGATCGGATAGAGGTGCAAGTTAAGGAGCTGAGTGAGAGTGTGAGCGGAAAGGAAAATGATCGACTTACTAGAATGTGAGCTGAACAATTTATCATTTTGTTGTTTGGGAAACTAAGTTTGATGAGTCTTGTGTGCGTGTGGCCACTTGATGGCTGATAATGGTGTGTAGAGGCTGTATTCCATAAATTGAAAAGTCGAAACAGAACGCTACGGGTATGAGCGGAAAGGAAAATGATCGACTTACTGGAATGTGAGCTAAATGATTTATCATTTTGTTGTTTGGGAAACCTACCGTGAATGTTGTATCATACCGGATAGGGTATGGAGACTTGGTCATTTCGCACTCATACCGGACGAGATATGACGACGACTCGCTTCACCCTCATACCGGACGAGGTATTGAGGTTTATTGTTTTGGCGCTCATACCGAACGTGGTATGGGAACGACCCTAGAATTAAGATTGTTAAGGAGAATAGTTCACGTGTAGCGGGGACCCCTATGGATCCCCATAGATACTAGTAGGTTGGTGAAAATGAAAAACAGTAAAAATCAGTTATTGTTAATGAATACGGATTTATAATATATTTTATGTTATTGATTATGCATGAAATTGTGATCTGTATGATATAACTGCTTCTGTAATTTATTTCCATAAATTCCCTTATGGTAAGAAAAAAAGGGTAAATAGTTTTATTTTAAATAAATGTATTGGTTTAAATCTACTGCTCCATTGGTTGTTTTGATTTTCTACAAACCTTTACTTCTGTGACGGTGATTAATGTGATGTCCTTACTGGGCTAGTGTAGCTCATTCTTTATTTAACCATTTTAGATCAGGAGGACTTGGTTCCCGAGCCCAATCCATAAGAAGACGGCGAATAGATGCTAGATACCTTATAGTTTTCTTTTGCTAGGAAGGGAGATGGAACAATGAGACTATGTATTGATTACAGATGATTGAACATGGTCACAATCAAGAACAAGTATCCCCTTCCCAAAATTGATGACCTCTTCAATCAGTTGCAGGGTGCGCAGGTATTCTCCAAAATAGATCTGCGATCAGGTTACCATCAGGTGAAAATAAGAACAGAAGACATCCCTAAGATGGCTTTTCGAACCAAGTACGAACACTATGAATTCCTGGTCATGCCATTTGGGCTAACCAATGCCCTAGCCATCTTCATGGATATGATGAACAGGGTCTTCAGACAATTCTTAGATCAATTTGTTATCGTGTTCATCGTTGACATTCTAGTCTACTCAAAAAACAGAGAGGAACATGCTCACCATCTAGCCCAGGTTTTGCAGGTTCTCAGAAGAAAGAAGTTGTATGCAAAGTTGAGTAAGTGTGAATTCTGCCTTGAGCAGACCGCCTTCCTGGGGCACATCATAACAAAGGATGGAGTCTCAGTGAATCCTGAAAAGGTTGAAACAGTGCTCGGCTGGGAGAAATTGACATCAGTTAAAGAAATTCGTAGCTTTCTGGGAATGGCTCCCCTAACCCGATTCACAAAGAAGAATGTCAAGTTTGAGTGGAATGAGGACTGTGAAAGAAGTTTTTCAGAACTAAAGAAGCAGCTGACTACTGCACTTGTGCTGGCCTTACCGAGTGAATCGGGGGGATATACAGTTTACAGTGATGCCTCCTATCTAGGCCTATGTTGTGTTCTAATGCAGCATGAAAAGGTCATAGCCTATAGGTCCAGATAGTTAAAGAGTCATGAAAAAAATTATCTCACACATGACTTAGAGGTTGCCGTAATCATATGCACCTTAAAGACTTGGCGCCATTATTTATATAGAGAGACCTTTCAGATCTATACCGATTATAAGAATTTAAAACACATATTCACTCAGAAGGATCTCAACATGCGTCAAAGAAGGTGGATAGAACTTTTTAAAGACTATGATTATGATATCTTGTACGATCCGGGTAAGGGCAACATGGTAGCTGATGCACTCAGCAGAAAAAATACAGGTATTTTAGCTCATTTGATGATCTCAGAATGCAGGCGAATTGGGGCTACACAACAGGTTCGATTTTAAGACTTAAGGAGAGTCACATGTTTGGGCCATTTGACCGTCCAACCTGAGTTAATCCAGAGAATAAGGAAAACTCAGTCAGCTGATCCCGCCCTAGTAGCCCTCAAGAATAATGCAGAATAGGGAGTTAGCTCAGAATTCCAAGTCTCCACCAGTGGGTTACTCCGATTTCAGGACATGGTATGTGTTCCAGGTGATAGTGAGTTAAAGAGAGACATCATGATAGAGGCCCATATCTTAAAGTTTACCATGCATCCCAGAAGCACCAAAGTGTACCAAAGCATGCGACCCCGGTTTTGGTGGAATGGGATGAAAAGGGACATAACTGACTTTGTGTCTAAATGCTTGGTATGTCAGCAGGTCAAGGCAGAGCATCAGCGCCCAGGTGGGTTACTTCAGCCTTTATCGATCCCATAGTGGAAGTGGGAACATATCACCATGGACTTCGTGATAGGGTTACCTAAGGCACACTCAAGACATGATGCCATCTGGGTAATTGTTGACTCGCTTACCAAGTCTTCCCACTTCTTAGCTATCAGGATGACCGATCCCTTGAACAAGTTGGCAAGATTATATATCCGAAAAATACTCAAATTGCATGGAGTCCTAGTGACAGTGGTGTTCGACACTGACCCCAGTTTCACTTCTCGGTTTTGGAGTAGCTTTCAGTAAGTCATGGCAACGAAGCTGCCCCTCAATACTGCCTTCCACCTTCAGACTAATGGACAATCAGAAAGGACAATCTGTACACTTGAGGATATGCTTCGAGCTTGTGTCCTTGACTCTGGGGGCCATTGGGACGACCATTTGCCCCTGATAGGGTTTGCCTACAACAACAGCTACTAAGCGAGCATTGGCATGGCTCCGTATGAGGTGTTATATAGGCGCCCATGCAGATTGCCGATTTGTTGGGAAGAAGTGGGCGATAAAAAATTAGTCGGCCTGGAGCTGGTAGAGGAGACTATATCCAATATAGTTAAGATCATGAGGAACATTCAGATGGCTCAGAGCAGACTGAAAAGTTATGCGAACACCCGGAAGAAAGATTTAGCGTTTGAGAAAGGTGATCAGGTGTTCCTTAAGGTCATTCCTTTCAAGGGAATTGGAAGATTCGGCAGGAGGAAAAAACTGAACTCCCGATTTATTGGACCATTTGAAGTCTTAGACATGATCGGTACCGCCGCCTACAGACTAGCACTACCTCTAGAGCTTTCCAAGGTCCACAATGTGTTTTATCTGTCCATGTTACGCAAGTACAACCCAGACCCCTCTGATGTCTTGGCCCACGAACCTCTCCCACTCTAGGAGGACTT